TACTATTAAGTGAAATCATCAAATTGCTCAAATTGGTGACTTGAGAATTATCAACTTGTTGATATATTTTGTTGATCATTCTTGAGACTTCATCTTCACGAATCGGACTAAATAATTGCACTTTCTTGAGACTAAATAAATGAAGAACGCATATTTTTCTCATTTCTCTCCAATAATCATTGTAAGGTCCAAAACCAATATCATGACCATTGTAAGACAATTTTTGTTGGCCAATAAGTGAAGGTCTGCTACAAAACACTAAATCTTGTGTCTTGAGTACTTCTTTTGCTAATTTTACTGAAGAAACTACAATAATTGGAAGATGAGAAGTAAGTTTGAATGAGAAGATTTTTCCATATTTCTTGGAAAGTTTCCAAAAATAAATATGAGGAGCTAAACTATCAAATTGATGCAAATTTCCAATGAATGGAAGCCCTATAGGACCTGGTGGAAGCTTATTTTTACCCTTCCTTTTGGCATTAAGAAGTAAAATGACGCAAATAGGAATCCCCACAAAGAGTAGAAAGAATATCATTTTATTGTCTAATTGCCTAGTGACTTGATATGCCTTATATATATATAAAAAAAATGGATCTTGGGTTAAACTATTTTTAATTTTTTTTAGAGATTTTATAACTTTTATACACTAACAATATAAAAGTATTATTAGATTAATATAAAATAAATTATTTTATATTTGTTAAATTTTTAATTAAGTGAGCAAAACTTTTTATGTGCGACCTAGTAAAGAATTTGAGTCGTGAAAGTAATCATTATTACTTTTATCAGGATAAACTGTCTATAACACCCTCTTGGAATGTGGCTCTTTCACTGCATGAACGAGAGATGATTTATGCACTAGGTTGCCTTTTTTTAAAAATAAAAAAAGAGAAATTGAAGGAGGACTCTCAATGATATCTAAGTAGGTGTTTGGATATGCAATTCCATCTCATGATTTGATATTATGAGATAAAATCATTTTTTGGACATGTAATTTCATCTCATGATTTCAAATCATGAAATGATAAATTATCCAAAAAGATTTCATATCATGATTTTACATTTTTCAAATACAAAAGCTAACCTACAAGTTTACATTTTGTAAAAAAAATAAATCATTATTTTATATCTATATATTTTTTTGTTAGAATATCAAAGGAGTGATTAAAAATTCACAGAACATGAACATGATGTAGTTTTTAAGGATATTGACAAACAAATGACTCAATAAATATATTACATTACAAATTATGTTCAATTTTACTTTTTTATTGAACTAAAGTTCATCAATAAATGTACTTTTTAAAAAAATAGTGTTGTAACATATTATACTTTAATTATGAACTGTTGTTTATTTGATAATATTGTATAAAGAATTTGAACAATTTTGATGAATTCACAACTTATGATCTTTTTATGCTTATGAACAAAACATACAACTTAAAACTGCAAATTGACATGTTCAAATAAATTAAAACTTCAATTTTATCTCATTTAATTTCATATCATAATTTCAAATTACGATTTTATTTTGTCGGATCCTTATAACAAATTGTTGGTGGGTGATCCATCTTTATATTAATGTGTAGCAAGAAGAAATAATGTTATACAATATGTCTACATCTTTTCTCATAACTTCTCTCATTCCTGAATTATATTTTGAACCACGTGCTTCTTTAATTTATTTTTCTCTTCTCTAACAAGAAATCTCCAAAACAAATTAGTCATGTAATTTGACAAAAATACAAAAAAAATTAAATAATAAATTGTAGCTTGAAAATGACTTTTGTTCTCTGGCAACATTTTGGACCATATAAATAGCAAAACTACTATGTACAAAATTTTAAATTCATGAATATGCCTCTAATTTTCAACATATTTGACAACATAACTTAAGATATCATCAACGGTGAATGAATAAATCGCGCATGTGGTTCTCAATTATTTATGAATTCGAATAGTATATTTAAATATATCAGGCTAAAATTAGGTGTAAATTATTTTAGATACATTATATCTAAGCGGATATTTTGGGTACATAATAAATCTCGCTCATGACCTCTCTCTCATGTATCTGATATCCTAGATACATGCGAATCACATCAAATACATACAAATACATATATCTAGTATGATTTTGCATGTATCTGGGATACATATGAATCTCGTTCGCCTCCCTCTCTAGTCTCGCTCGTCTCTCTCTATTTTTGTGTATCTAGTAGAAAAAATACATGTATCTAATTGTATTTTCTTCAATAAATAATAGAAAACTCTTAATTAATGATAAGATACGTAATATTTTTAAAGTACAAATAATAATAATATATATGATAGTGTAATATGTCTAATGAGATAGTTTTTCCTATTTATATTATAGTAAAAATATATGTCGACAATTATTTAAAGTTTATTATATTCAGGATATAGCTAAAACTTTTAACAATATTTATATAGACTCTTAGAAAAAAAACCATACTAATTATTATTGTAATTACTTTTAGCGTCACTTTACTATTGCCATTAAAGCTGCATTAAAAATATCATACCCAACAAATTTTGCCACGTTTGTTATTACTGGCAACTATGCCATAATTTATAACCTATAAATGAGACCCTTTCTAGTGGCAATAATTATGGCAGATAAAATTGATCATACCATAATCCACATATTTAATCAATCATTTTTCTTTATAAAATCACAATAATATATAAGTTTGAAGGTAGTAATAATAGAAATAAAATAAAAAGAAGGTATCAATAGAAAATAAAAACTACGCCATTCACTAATGCAAATTCAGGAAGTACTTATTGCATGAAATAATTTCTATCAGATATTTAGAAATTGGGGTCGTTTGGTGTGAGAGATAAGAATAAACAGCCATGAGATAAAAATTTGGTATCTTATTTGATTGTCATATTTGAGATAACTTATTTCATCATTTATACCATAATGATGTGATAAGTTATCTCATATACATGGTGGGATTAGTTATATCAGGATAATTAATTTTGGAATGACTTGTTCTCAACCACACGATTAATCTTTAATCATGTACATACAATTAAAGGGTCTTTTTTAGAAAAGATTAACATTATGTTGTCTTTTGGATCAAGTATGGTGTACATACAATTAAGGGCATTTTTGTCCTTTTCTAATCTTAGTTAGTCCTAGTAGTATAAACGGAATATAATAAAATAGAGAGTATTATGGTAGACAATATTTTTAGGTGAATTGTATATATTTATCTTTATTTTATATCTCTCTTAAATTTCTTTTGGTAAGATTAGGAAATTATAAATCTGTATTTGTTGGTCTCTAATTATAAAATTGTTTTTTTTTCTCTTCTATCTTCCCTCAATTTCTTACTTCTTGAATCTCTCTATTTTGTATCTCGTAGAAGGAGTAGGAGGAGGAGAAATAGAGAATAAATATTTTCGTTTAAATTTATCTATATTTTAGTACTAGTCAAATAAAATTAAGGAAAAATTACACTTTATGTTCATTGGGAGAAATACTTATATGTTTTAGCCTATATTTGAGTTTATTACCCAATTGAGTCTTATATTTGTATGTAAATATCTTTTATATTTTTTCTTATATAAAGTTGATACAATATGTATAATGTTTTCTCAAAAGGTATAATATTGTATAAATTGAAAAATATGACTACATGCGTGATATTTTATGTTGGCCAGTATATTTTTGAAAATTTTCCTAAGTTTAACCATTTGTTTATCTACATAGTTTTATTGTGGCAAACGTCAAATTCAAGATAAACAACCCTTTAGAGGTAAATATGTGACGAAATCAACAAAAAAGTTATCTAAGGAAAAATCAACAAAAAATCCAATGCAATTCCCATATAGTATTTCCGACAGACCTTCAACTCAAGAAAAAAAATAATTCAAAGCAATATAAAGAGAAATAACATAAAAGAAGAAGTCATGTCAAAATGTTATGGAAATCTGACAAATTATCCTAAAAAATAGTCATAACAAGATAAAATGATAATCAAAGTGCAAAAAATAACATATAATAGCCAAACTCAAAGGACAAGAGTAATATTACAATTAATAGTATTGCTAATAGTAAACATGAGTTAGCAGGACAACGGTTAACTATCTAGTGTCCTCCATAACCTTCTATCTAAGGTCATATCTTCGGTAAGTTGAAGCTGCATCATATCCTATCTAATCACCTCTTTCCAATACTTCTTCTGATTGCCTCTACTTATGAGGTAATTTAAGGAAAAATATATAAGATAAACTATAAAATATAGTCAATTATTTTTGGAACGATATAAATAAATAAATAAATAAATACTCTCAACAGTCCAAAATAATTGACTTTTAGGACGTCTTTGGTATGAAAGAAAACATTTTCTAGAAAAAAATATCCAATTTCCCGGCCATTTTCGATTGGCTTAAATATTTTTCAAATGGACTTATGCTCCTTTAGTTTAATGAAAACGACTAACATTTTTCTAATCTCTCTTTCAGCCTCACCCACCCAGCTAATCCACCTAAACACCCCAACCCTAGCCCCTCGTAACGTGAACCACCCTGCACCTAACTAACTCGGGACTCATCCTAGGATCACCCTATTTGAGACCCCCTACCCCTCGAGACTCAACCCTAACTAGAATTGAAACCTTACTCTGATTCATTTCCTAACTTGACCCTCTCCAACACGGAACCTAACCCTAAATTGACACAAGACCCGACCCTGAATTGGCACAAGACCAAAATCTCGACCTTAACTCGGGGTTGGGATCTTAGGCTAGATGTCAGGGTTGGGGTCGAATCTCGATTCAAGTCTCATGTCAAGGTCGGGGTTGGGTCCGTGGTAGATGTCAGATCAAAGGCTGGATCATGCATTGGGTTGGAACATGAGTTTAGGTTCGAGTTCATAATATATGTCTAAATTATACTTCAATATTTAATTTAGAAAAACATTTTTCATTGTGCCGAACACACCCTTAAATCTTTAAAAGTTGGTAAAAAACTTTTGGCTTATGTTGATGGCTTTATTTTGCCGATCCATCGTCTCTAACTTTCCACTTCCTCGTCTTCCATTGCAGCTCGTCCCTCTCAACACAACTCCTTTCCCGCACTGCCCTTCCAAATCCTACCAAATTACCGCTTTGCCACTTGTTCTACGCCGCAAAACAGCTTCCTTTGCTTCACTGCCGTCGCCGCCGTCATCAACCATGGAGAACCCACCTGAAGGTTATCGAAGAAACGTCGGCATTTGTCTAATGAATCCTTCTAATAAAAAGGTCTGTTTTTTCTTCTTCCTAAGTAATTTGCGTATGTTCTTTAATTAATTTCACTTTGCAAATCTAAATTCTGCAGATTTTTGCTGCTTCAAGGCTTGATATACCTAGTGCTTGGCAAATGCCGCAGGTAAATAATGTAGATTTCAATTGGGTTCCCGTTCATTCTTTTTGTTTCAATTGTTGAATGTGCTCTAGAATTTTCATTTAGGGGGTTCGGAAAATAAAAATGTAGTGTCTGGATTCGAACTTGGGATCTCAAAGTGAATTTTGAATTTCTGGAACAGCTATGTCAACCTCCTAGTCCTGTGTTTTTTATGTTTAGGGGATTCAAAATCTATAGGTATATACATAAAAAGATTAAAAAATGACCCTATATATAGTGTAATGTTTTGCTTCGGGTTCGGATGAACACTGTCCAGTGAAATTACGGTTAGTCTCGCTAGCTCTTTAGTTGCCTCCCCTTACTTGCTCATTCACAATTGTTACCACAAGAAAGTCACCCCTATCTCTAAAGGGGCTTATGCACTCCACGACCCCCCTAGATTCGCTCCTGGTTAGGGGTGGGTGGGTGGAGCAAGGTAACCGTCTAACCGGAAATTCATCTTTAGAGCTAAGTCCTAAGGAGGTTGGTTGGAATGTATGGGTGTAGGTTAGTGTCTTGGACCTGGAACACTGTACTCAGGGTTCCAAATCTTCAATGAGTGCCTATAAAGGATTAATTATGTTGTTGAGGTTTTCCACCACAAACTTGTCAAGGTAGTAAAATTATTTCTCATCTAGAAATATCCAAATTTTGATGCCCAAACTCCATAGATAGTTCGACCTGTATAAGAGAAATAATCAATTTTAGCTCGAATTGTTTGTAGGGGAACCTTACCTTCTCTGATCCATTTGACATGTGTAATTTCTTTTCCATCGATACGCCCCACAAGTTGTATTTGAATTTCTTTTGTATGGTGGGTGGGGAAATTAGGAGTAGTACTCCATCAATTTCAATTTATATGACACATCCTACATTTTGGGGCATTCTAAATATTTGACAGTACATTCATATTCATCAAGATAACTATTTAACCATCACTTTAATATTGTTTTCTACTTTTGTTTATAATTTGAACCAACCTATTGAACACCTTGTCCAGTTAAACACCTTTGTATAGCATCAAATTTTGGCCTAATGCATCAATTGATTTTTGTCACAGAGGTAAAATAGTATTCACCCTAACTCACTAAGAACATGTCTGGATGAGGTAACAATTAGCTAAAATATGGATGATTGTGTGGTGAGAGAATGAACCCAAAATCCTCACTAAAACTTACCAACTGTTTAAAGTTAACTATCATGTCCCACTAGTTATATCTGACTTCCTACCACAATCTACTACTGTAATCTACTATGAACTATCTGACATGTGGATAACATAATCCATGTGTTTCTCATGGAAGTTGGTAGTATTAATAGACCCTCTAAGTCCGAGAAGAGTCGAGAATCGTTCTTTAACCACTTGTGGATTAAATTATAGTGATCAACGAACCGATGAGGAAAAGAAGTTTTGGTTAAACACAATGTAATTTCAATTGAGAAGGACAATATGATAGGATCGACTATAGTAGTACTGGTCTCTTCTATCCAGTAATTCTTTCCCATGAAGTTTAGATTATCAATTATCTATTGGGATAATGAAACAAATAAGACTTGTTTTGAGTTGAAAGTTGTTAAGGAAATGGACCTTGGTTCTATCTGCTTCAAAAGTTAGCTCATGACACGAGGATTGTGAAGACCATAAAAAAAGGTAGCCCGGTGTACTAAAGCTCCCTCTATGTGCGGGGTCCGAGGAAGGACTGGACCACAAATGTTTCCTATGCCTTAACTTGCATTTTTGCAAGAGCATATCCTACATAAGGAGGTCACATAACCCACTTTGTCAACTGATATGTGATATTCAACATCCCCTGCTTGTCCTATACTGGACATTGCGTGGGTGGATAGTATAACATGGGGGTTCAATATAGGTAATCAAGAATTGAGATGGGTTTGGTTAGATATCATGCTAAGAAAATGAATCCTGGACTTAACTCAACCGTAATAGCTAGTTGATAAGATTAGGATTTCCCAAGACTATATCAGGAGGCAACAAATCATTACGACAACCTTTAGTGACTCGTCCATAGCGCCTTTGAACAAACTGAAAGGTCCTCTATTCAGCTTCCCCTGCGGTTTGAATGTGAGACACTTAGCAAAAGCTTAGATGACCTATATGGTGCAACGTTTCAGTAATAAATTTCAACAAATGTAAATGTTTAGAAGAGATTATGAGAGGTTCCAGTAAACATGAATCTTTGAAACTTGGCAATAAATGTGTAAACGGGGTTTAACATTTATAATGCCATATATACCCATAAAATAACATTTATAATGCCACAAACTCTAGAGACTATAGAGTTCAGGTTGAGCAAGGCCAAGACTGAATACTTAGAGTGTAAGTTTGGTGATGCTACGCATGAGGTCGGCGTGGAAGTGAGGCTTGATGCTCGGGTCATTCCTAAGAGAGGATGTTTCAAGTATCTAGGGTCTTTAATTCAAGGCAATGGGGAGATTGACCACAACGTCACATTGTATTGGTGCGGATGGGTGAAATGGAGGCTCACATTCGGGTCTTGTGTGATAAGAAGGTACCGCCAATATTTAAGGGTATTAAATTGACTATATGTTGTATGGGATGTAGTGTTGGCCAATCAAGACACATGTTCAAAAGATGAAAGTTGTGGAAATGAGAATGTTGAGGTGGATGTGTGGGCATACTAGGAGAGATAAGATTAGGAATGAAGATATTTGGGATAAGGTAGGAGTGGCCTCCGTGGTAGATAAGATGAGAGAAGTGAGACTGAGATGATTTGGTCATATGAAGAGGAGAAGTGTAGATGTCCTAGTGAGGAGATGTGAGAGGTTGACATTTAGGATAGGTAGAGGTAGATCGAAAGAAGTATTGGGGAAGGTGATTAGACAGGACCTGACACATCTTGAGCTTACCAAGAACATGACCTTAGATATGAAGGTTTGGAGGTTGCGGAATAGGATAAAAGGCTAGTTGGTAGTTGAGCGTTCTTTTGCTTTCCTGCGGGATAGGATTGGTGGTTGTACTTGGGCTTTCTTTCTTACCAGTGGAATTAGCTCTATTCTCATAGTTTCTTGTTCTTCGATTTCGATTATCGTTTGTGTTTTTTTTGTGGTTATCGTATCATTTTAATTGCATTATTGTTCTTTCCGTTGTGTGTTGTGACCTGCTCCCATTTCACACTATTTCATTGTTGTTACTGCTCTCATTTCTATATTCTTCTTTACAAACTGGAAATGCTTTATTTTAAGTTGAGGGTCTATCAGAAATAGCCTTTCTATCGCTATGAGGTAGGGGTAAGGTCTATATACACTCTACTCTCCCAAGACCCTACTTGTGGGATTACATTGGATATGTTGTTGTTGGTGTTAAAGATCTCAAGGCTCAGTTCTGGTTTGACATTCCTAGAAACCTTCATATGCAATTTCCTTCATTTGACAATATTAGCATGTTCTCTGAAGATGTTAGTTTTTCTCAGATTCAAAGTTTGGAGTTTCTTTTTCTGTAAAAATTAGAATAAAAGAAAAAGTTAGAAGAACGGTGTAACTTTTTCAAAATCTTGGTCTCTGCAATAAAATAAAGAAAAACATATCTGGGTTTTCTGAATCAGGGTGGAGTTGATGACAATGAAGATCCAACAAATGCTGCCATCAGGGAATTAAGAGAGGAAACTGGGGTTACTTCAGCAGAAATTGTTGCTGAGGTATGAAAAGTAAATCCTGCTATAATCTTGAGTTTGTCGAGTTTTATTTCTTTGGTCCTCTCATTCAAGGCAGGCCAGGAATAAAGAGATTTAATCAGCTCACAAAATGGCTGTGGTTATTTAATACCTGGCTTGTTGGGTTGTGATGAGAGTTCCCACAGTTTAAAGTTGGTTTCCCAAAGTTAAAGAAACCAGAGTCTACGAGATCCTCTTTCTTAATTTGATGTGATCTCTTGTTTTGAGTAGCGGTAGGCTGGTTAGTGATGTTCTGAATCTGATGTAGGTTCCTCATTGGGTAACGTATGATTTCCCTCCAGACGTTAGAGAAAAGCTAAGGCATCAATGGGGATCTGACTGGAAAGGTCAAGCACAGAAGTGGTAGGTGCATCTAAATCAGCAAAATATACTTGAAACTGTATATTTTCCGTTCCTTGATAAACAATCAGTGGGAGAGTGATTGCTATACAACCTGGTTTTGGTGCACAGGGGGATTCGTGGACATCGTGCTATAAAGTTCTACTCCTTATTTACTGCTCATTTGAGCGTCTGATTGTTTTTTCTTTTTGGTCTCCACTTTTTCCTAATTCTGAAGGGTACTGAAATATGTGGAAAAATTCTAGGTTCTTATTTAAGTTCACTGGAAAGGATGAAGAAATCAACCTTCTTGGGGATGGGACAGAGAAGGCTGAGTTTGGAGAATGGTCATGGATATCACCTGAGCAAGTTATTGAACTTGTGAGTGAACCATTTAGACTTTTGAAGTTTGTCTTAAAACGACTTACGGCTTTAACTCCTATTAATTTGACTTTTATCCAAAAATCTTGTCTACAGGCAGTGGATTTCAAGAAGCCCGTTTACAGGGAAGTTCTATCTGTTTTCTCGCAACATTTTCAGTAGTGAAACTGGTCATTTCTGAAGTCCGAAGTTTAAGAGGTCCGTTTATCTTAAACCCTTCCTTTATTAGATATTCACTGTTCCGCTGCCATTCTGTTAGCAAATTTGTATTTAAGTCATCATTCTGTCTTCATCATCAAAGCTTGAACTACTCAGGCTGTCAGGCAGGACCTATGAGTACTTCGACTTTTGGAGGATTCATATAGCTGACTCGAACTTGTTTGGGACTGAGACATAGTAGTTGTTTTGTACACTATATTTTCGTGTTTCTAAATTTTCGTTACATCTTAACAGGTTTTATTTGCCAAAATAATGGCAGGAGGTTCAATATGGTTTTTCAGCATAGCTGGTTTTGGTGAAATAAATATGTATACTTTGTTCTACTCTGTACAATTATTGATTATGCTGTAACCTCGTTTTCTCTTTATTTTTTTATAGAAAAAAGAAATTTTATTACACAGGAAAAAAGGAATGATGAAAATTAAACTTCACTTATTTACCAATTGACGTAATGCATTGTGATTTGTGTCTAAGAAGGGAGAAATGTCCATACTTTAAATTTGTGAAGAAGTTTTATTTTTAAAGGAGAAAAATGATTTTCAGCTATTTCCATTTGGTTAATTTTTTCCATAAGAATCCCCAAAAAAATATATGTTAGAATCTCATGTAGTTTTAGTTGAAGAAATAAAATATCAGTCTATAATGGAGATTTTGGTAAGTTTTAATGTAATAAATGTAGAATAGATGCACTCTGAAGGATAGACATGAATAATATAATTAGGAATAGTTATCCTAATTGATTTTGTTATAGAAAAAATGTTTACATTTACACTATTCCAATAAATGCACACTATTATTCAACTTACAATAGAAATTTTAATATCTATTTATATTATTCTAATAGAAAATTTAGAAACAATTTTTTTTATAGATAAGATAGAATAATCAACATTAATTTCAAAAGTTAATTAAGATAAATATAATACAATAAACCTTACCCAAATTTTTAGCAGGCAACATAAGGGTGAATCACCAAATTAAATACACAACCTTCCACATTTATTTCATTTCTATTAATTTAAGGATTTAAAGATTTACTTCCAACAGTTTAAAAAAGAAACTTACATTGGCATGACTCATTATGTATTATCTTTTTTAAAAATTATCCACACAAAAATGAGTCACCTTTAATTTTACTAATTTTATTACCTAAAAAGGATTTCTTGTTTCACTATAAAAACCCTTTTAATTCTCAAAAAATTTTAAACAAGCAAATTCTCATATTTTATTCTCTTGGTTTTATTTGTGCTTTTTTTCTTAATTCAAAGTCAAACATGACTTTCCTCGTTGCCCAAACTGATCATGGTATATATATTTTTTTCTATTTTTTTATGTCTTATTTGACTTCTTAAATTATATATTCAGTCGTTGTCTATTTGATTTGATGCTTGAACTTGAGATTTTTGATTAAAAATTCATTACTTATTTGAAAAAGTGTTACCAATGTTACTTGACTTCTTAAATTATTTATCTAATCATTATCTTTCTGCTTTGCTGTTCTAACTTGAAATATTTTATTAAGAATTTGTTACTACTTGTATTTGAAAAAGTGTTAATTCTCTTTGATATGTCACTAAACGCATCAAAATTCGAGTTTTATGAATTTCATTATTCTATCCCTTTAATATTATTAGGTTCTAAAGTTTATAATTGGTACATATTTATTAAATAGATTTTCAAAGACATATATAAGGTATCATTGAGTTATTTTTTCGTTACAAACTAATTTTATGACTTTTTTTGCGATAAATTGATAGTTCGATGATTATTTGTGAAATAAAGATTTGATAGTTATGTGCTTGATCTTGTTAGGAGTACAAGTGGACAGCAAAAAGGAAAATTCTGATGGTGTATTTGTTGTCCCTAGCAATAATGCATTTGGCAATTCATTCAGGTAATTAATTATAACATTATTTTCTCAATCAAGAAATTATATAAAATTTAATATAATGTATATATACGACTTGTCCTGACGTTACTTAATTATCGATGCAGGAATTATAGTGCAGAGACTGAACGCCAAAAGATAGTGCGTGAACTCTATCGTCAGAGTCACATTAACCAAACATATGATTTTGTAAGATTCCAAACAAATAAACTAAAAAATTCTTGGAATTAGAACTTTTTTTTAGTACATTGGAAGGGAGCAAAAGCTTCATTATACTTGATTGTATCGTTCCAACTTAGTAGATTTTATTTATGTCTGACATTCGTTTGCTAGAAAATCTGCATATTTGATTGTAATGCACGTATATTTTAAACAGGTGAAAAAGATGAGAGAAGAATATGAAAAGGTGAATAAAGTGGAAATGAGCATATGGGAATGTTGTGAACTTTTGAATGAAGTTGTGGATGATAGTGATCCTGATTTGGATGAACCACAAATTGAGCATTTGTTGCAAACTGCTGAAGCTATTAGAAAGGATTATCCTAATGAAGATTGGTTACACTTAACTGGCCTAATTCATGGTTTGTTCAGAAGAAGAAAAATTTAATTTTAATTTTTTTTATAGGGGTTTAAAAGGATTAATTTTTTGTCCTAAATGTTGTAGATCTTGGCAAAGTTCTTTTGCTTCCTAGCTTTGGAGGGCTTCCTCAGTGGGCTGTTGTTGGTAAGAATTTCGTTTCGGGAACTCTTTCATTCGAACTTTTTATGTGGCGTGCTTAAGACATACAAAATTAAAGGACATTTTGGTACGTTTTACAGGTGACACATTTCCCCTTGGTTGTGCTTTTGATGAATCAATTGTGCTTCATGAGGTGTTTTTTTTCTTCTTGAGATTTGCTTTTTCCCTTACTAGAGTCGATGGTCTCTCAGAAACAACCTCTCTATCTGTATAAGGTAGTGGTAAGGTTGTGTACAAACCACTTTCCTCAGATCCTACTCGTGGGATTACAGTGGGTTCGTTGTTGTTGTTATGAAGTTCCATTCTTCATATTACTCAAATTGTCTATTCTGCAGCAATTAAAGGGAAATCCTGATAACAACAATCCATCTTACAACACAAAATATGGAGTTTATTCTGAAGGATGTGGGCTTAATAATGTGGTGATGTCTTGGGGCCATGATGACTATATGTACTTGGTATGCATTTTTTCTTATTATTCAGAATAAAAACCTTTCAAATTTAGTGACAATAAATGAAGAATTATATCTGATTTAACATAATGTGTGTAATTATGCAGGTGGCTAAAGCAAATAAAACTACTCTTCCATCTGCTGCATTGTTCATCATCCGATATCATTCCTTCTATCGTAAGCAATACATAATTAACTTGTTTTTTTGTTGTTTTCAACAACGTACCTAGTGTAATGATGTATGCAAATCTTACCCCTACGACTTGACGGATATAATGGTTAAACTGTATTGCTAATCTTGAACTGTTGTTATGTAGCTCTGCATAAGTCAGGGGCATATACTCACTTGATGAATGAGGAGGATCATGAAAACCTGAAATGGCTTCAAATCTTCAGGTAAGTTTTTTTTTTCCAATTACATAATTTGTACTTCTGCTTGCTTCTTGGTTTGAAGGGAGTCTTGTAGCAACGGTAAAGTTGTTTACATGTAGACTGCCTACATCACTCTTTAGGATTGCGGCTCTTTGCTTAGTACACCGAACTGCCCTTTTACTTGCTTCTCTTGACGACCTTTTCAGAATTAACTGTTGAGAATATGGGTTGACTGAATATTGTGTATATTGACAGCAAATATGATCTGTATAGCAAGAGCAATGTTAGGATTGATGTGGAGAAAGTGAAACCTTACTACATGTCCCTCATTGAGAAGGTAAATTTTAATTTGCCTTACTAGTTGAGTAAAGAGCAAATACTTTTATACTATAACTCCTCAATCCGAAGTAAGTTGGACTCAGCTATATGAATCCTCACCGTTCCATACAATCTTTTCGTTCTGCTTTACTGAACTAACGTCAAACATTTTGATTGCAGTATTTCCCAGCCAAATTGAAGTGGTGAAATCTTCTAATTAGAGCAGCTATGAAACAAGATGCTTGTGGATACAAAACAACAAGATTCAGGAACTAGTTATGGGATTTTATTTGTGCATTTTTTTTCCTTTTTCTTGGGGTGGGTTGGGGTAGGGTATGGTGTTCCATTATGCTGTTCCTAATGTTTCATAAATAAAAGAGTTTATTTGTTGAAAATGCATTTGACTTTTATTCAATTATTGTGATGACACAAACTGTATCTCCTCTTTGGGAAATTGCAGTGAAAATGCGTAGAAATGCAAGCATATACAACAACGTACCCAGTATAATCCCACAAGTAGTGTCTAGAGAGGGTAGAGTGTACGTAGACCTTACCCCTACCTTGGGAGATAGAGAGGTTGTCTCCAATAGACCCTCGACAAGAATGCAAGGATATCTAAGATAAAATCATCACAGCTAGAAGGAACTTTGAAACAAAAGAAAGAGTATGTCTCTCTATATCAAAGCAAGACATTCTTAACTGGCTTGAAAATAACAAGTAAATTTGTATCATCTACTCAACTGGCTTTGACATTGGCAGCTCATTATCTGTTCAAACTCATTGTACCGACTCATATAACAAACTAAGCGGGAAAAAAATTGCTGGTTTAGTTAGTGAAGCAAACTGGACAGTGTTGAGGTTTCATTGCTTACCTCCTTCAATAGTTGCTACTTGTGGTCCATCAGTGTTGGATGTGATTAAGTTTGCCCTTTAATGCTGTTACCTCCTTCCGTAGTTGATACTAGCGGTCCATCGGTGACATATCTTTCCTCTAATACTACTCGAAAGTCCAAACCAACAATACACATCATAACAATTGATATAACTCTAAGCTTTAAGATAGACATTTGTTGTTGATATTCATCACAAGAACATAACTGGATTACCAACACAGTTCTGGTTTAAGCAGAGATTGTATGTACTTAACTGCAACTCCATTTAAGAACACATAAGAGTGTTGATAAGTCCATCCAGTTAATTGATTCTCAGGATACCTTCCGATGCATTGTCCCATATTACAACCTCTTTTCACTCCAAATTTAGTTCATCAGCTTCCAGAACTTTGTCGTCTCCATCTATTAAGTAAAATCGTTCTTCAATTTACGCATAGGAAAACTGAAATAAAGTCTACCAGAGTTAATAATCCTTGCAGAAACAGTGACTAAAAACTGTTACCACTGCAGTAAAATGTACAATCTACTCTTCTCGATCCTAAAGAGAACATAACAATCACTGTGTATGATCAATAATGTGTTCAATATGATCACTAACTATGCCAGCAACAACATCAGGAGAAAACCTACTCATCATATCATCCCTTGCCTGCTTACCTCTGGCCTTAGCTTCCTCATGATTTCTCATTACATGCCTCATTAGCATTTGCAGCTTATTAACCGAAGGTTCAGCCCATAAATGCCCCTTAAATGGACCTTCTGTGACTTCACTCATACTATCGACAGGCAATGGGTAACTATTATCTTCTGTCATGAACTCAGTTGGTCCTGACCAATTTGTAGCAATCACGGGCAAAGTCATTGCCATTGCCTCCACAATAGGCCTACCCCAACCTTCACCTCTAGATGGCAAAACAAATGCATTAGCAGCCTTGTATAGCCTAGGCATATCAACCTGAGCTATGTGTTCGTCGATTACATATACTCTAGCCCAACCATCTTTCGGTTCTTCCAAATCCGATTTCTCCACATATTCAACAATCTTGTTACCAAAATCCCTATCAGAATGATACGGATTCGTTAACAGATACAAAACCACATCATCACCTCCCGAAAACTCCTTCAAGTAAGACCTCAACAAAACATCCCATCCTTTCCTATATTCCCACTTGAAAATACTCAAGAACACAAACTTTTCTCCATTTGAAAATGACCCCATCACTGAATTCCCTAATGACTCTAAATCCAATGCCTCATACTTCACTGGATCAAAAAAAATAAGATCAACAGGCTGAACAATCTTGACAATTTTCAATGGATCAACCCCACTTTCAGTAAAAGTTTTCACATGAAAATCAGTAGGAACCCAAACAAAATCCAAAAGATTACACCTTTTTACATGTTCATCATTAACTCTATCAGTCTCAAACATGGTCCTTCCAACTACAGCCTTAAAATGACCATAACCAATAGGTGGACATGGAAGTGTATCAAAAAGTGGAGGATACCAAGCACCAGGCTCACTATGACAAACAACAACAGTCTCATTCAACTTACATTCTCTATGGTAAAGCTCAACAGCCAAATTTCTCATATCTAAAGGTAAACCCTCCCAAAATTCAAGATTTTCAAGATCCCCATGTTGCTCAATTTTCAAATTAAAGATTGGATTTTTATTCATTGAGTAATTATGTAAAGCTAAAATGTATGACCAAGCTTCTGAGCTGTACCCACCTCCTGAAAGAAATGGAGCCATCCATAGAACACAATAAGGGGCTGTGTAAATGGGGTTTCTTGAAATTTGTTTCTGAACTGTTGGATTCAGCCAATTTGATCTGAGAAAAAAGAGTTTCTTGAACTGATCTGTTTTGCTAATACTGAATGAAATTGCTAATAGGAGTACCAAGATTGATAGAAGATAAAAGGGTTTGAGTTTTCCGATGAAAGGAAGATTCCGTCCGGGTGACGGCGGCGGTGGCGGAGGTGGCGGCGGGAGGTGGCCGGAATCTAGTCTTTCGGCGGAATGCATAATCAGAACGGAGATAGAGAGCGCCGTGTTTGAGCAAAACTAAATAACTTTATGTTTTTAGTAACAAGGACTATGAGAATTTTTATGTTTTTTTTATTTTCTTTTATTACTAGTATAATATCCTGTGTAAATACGGACCCAATATATGTTATTCTATTTATCTCACTTTAATATCTTGAATAGTTAATTATTACTCCCTCTGTCCCAATTTATATGACTTATTTTTCTTTTTAGTCAGTCCCAAAAAGAATGATACATTTCTATTTTAAGTAACAATTTTGCTATAAAATGTCTATTTTACCCTTAATGAAATGATTTACAGCCACACAAATTTCTATCATTCATTTTGGACCACAAGTTTTAAAGTCTTCCTTTCTTTCTTAAACTTCGTGCCGAGTCAAAGTACCTCATATAAAATGGGACAGAGGGAGTATGTTTTATAGTACTTTTAATGTAAATATCAAATAATATATGTTACTCTCCCAATTTTTATGTTAGCACGTATGAAATTTCGAGAGTCAACTAAATTTTAATATGTTTTTTAAATTGTTAATTATTGTGATTTTATAAGACTATATTTTCGTAATTTTTAAATACATAACATACTTAAAAAGAAATAAGATAAATAAATTAAAACGGAAAAGTTACTAAATATAAATCGAAGAAATTGAGGAACAAGGACAAATCGGAGAATTATGTGACTAATCCTAAGCAACCCAATATATGTTGCTCCATTTGTCTTAATTTATGTGGCTATCTTCTCATTTTTAAATAGTTTAAGTTGTTAATTATTGTGATTTGTTGTATTTTTTTTATGTAATTTAAAATAACATGTTATTTCATATTGTATCAATTTATGTGGCACATGTAAAAAAAATTTAGTAAATAATTTTTTTAATATGCTCTTAAAATATTTTAATTTGTTATTTATTGTAATTTATGAAGTAATATTTTTCATAATTTAAATATATAACATACTAAAAATAAAAACATGACAAAAAAATTGAAACATAATTATTAAATATAAATAGTGGAAATAATTGGATAGCAATAAAAGGCGAGGAGCTTAGGGAATGATTAAGCAATTTATTTAATTCCAGTCATATAAAATCTAGCAAATACTCACTGGTTTATGGAAAAATTGATATGTCCCTATCAGACGAGCTTCTTGAAAAATAGACAAGTTACTGACAATGCTACTCCCTCTGTCTCAGTTTATGTGATTTACTTTCTTTTTTAGTCAGTCCCAAAAAGAATGACACATTTCTATATTAAACAATAATTAGCTATAAAATGTCTATTTTACTCTTAATGAAATGATTTACAGCTACACAAATTTCTATCATTCATTTTGGACCACAAGTTTTAAAAGTCTTCCTTTCTTTCTTAAACTCCGTGCCGAGTCAAAGTACCTCACATAAAATGGGACGGAGGAAGTATCACCGTACAAGAAATCATTAACCACTTCAAAAAAATGAAAGGAAAACTTGGTAACCTCATTATGAAAATTGACATTGAAAAGGTTTTCGAAAAATTCGAATGGTCTTTTATAAAATTCACTCTTCATTACTTTAAATTTTCGCTTAATATTATAAGCTTTATAATGTCTTGCATATGCACAAGTAATGTCTTCATCCTTATAAATGGGTCAAGAACTGAGTTTTTTAAACCATTAAGAAGACTTAAACAAAGAGATCTCATGTCGATGTATATCTTTATTCTATGTATAGAAGTTTTATCTCATAATATTAATCAAGTCATTGATGCAAAAATTTGGAATCCGATAAAATCTCGATGTTGGTCCGTTCCTTTTTCACTTATTCTTTGTCGATGGCTTAGTCCTAATGTCTAAAGCAACCCTGAATGATTGTAAATCAATCAAAGACACCCTTGAGAATTTTTGTGAATGGTCTGTACAAAATATCAATAACCTTAAATCAAAAATTATTTTCTCTAATAACTGCTCCCAAAATATTAAAGACGTTATATCAAATCATATGAATATAAAGCCGAGCGAGTCCTTTCGAAAATATCTTGGCTTTCCAATTTTTCATAAAAGACCTTTGAAAAGAGACTACCAATTCATCTTGGATAACCTGCAGGCAAAACTTACATGATGGAAAACCAGATTCTTGAATATTGCAGGACGCACAACACTAGTCAAATTTTCCCTTAATAACATTCCGTCTCATGTTATGCAATATATAAAATTACCTAATAACATCTCCAAATAAATTGATCGCTTACAATGAAAATTTATATGGGGTACTACCAACTTTAAAAGGAAATTACATCTCCTAAATTGGGATACAATTACTAGGCCTAAGGGGGGAGGAGGTTTAGGAATCCAAAAGTGTAAGTTAAAAAATGATGCCTTACTTTCAAAACTAGACTGGAGGCTGGAGAATTTATAAAAATCCCGCAACTTTGTGGGCTGCCCTCCTTATTAATAAATATACCAGGAATACAAATCTTAACACTATAGATAATTATCTAAAAACCACTAGCAGTACTTGGAAAAATATTATTTTAGGTTGGAATTTTTGTAAAGAATGTACTATTTGGGATTTAGGAAATGACAAAAACATAACTTATAAGTGACATTATTGTTGATGGATCTTGGAACCAAAACAGAATGAGTGAACTCTTGCTACCAAATGTAGTAAAATCTAAATTGACTCTATTTAAAAAATAATCTCTTAATCATTATTACGATATATTTTTCATAATAGTGCATTCTTCCAAAATTCTGAATACACCTCTAATTGACTAACTGACTAAGGAGGAGGAGGAGAATGAGCCTATGAAGAGACTATGAAGTGTGCTTCAAATATATGTGGTTCCTTCACTCTTTTGACAATTAGTGTCTAATTCCTCTATTGATCCACGATTTCATGGTGTATCAAAGTAATTTAATCATAGTATCGAATTATTTATTAATTTATTTTATTGCTTAAAACTTTATATCTTCTATATTTTGGCTATATTTTTAAAATTATTTATATTGTAAATTTCAAAAAAATAAAATGTATATAGATATAGTCATATAGATCAACATTTTTTCTTATTGCTTGTGATTTTTATGACTTTCCTCAATTCAAATTACTTGGCTTCAGAACTAGGTCATGACATTAATCCCAAATTTAAAAATAAAATAAAAATAGAAAGAGAGAGCGATGCAATTACAAATACAGGAAAATTTGAAATCAAAATATAACTTTTTAATTAATCTTTTATTCTTTTTTAAAACAGACTAATTTTTTTCGTAATAATAACTAAGTAAGAGGATAACAAGATATATTGATGGTGCAAATACAAGTAGAATGTCCTAGGCCTTCATCGTCACACCTTGATCCCACTACATGTTGTCCATAAAGTTGTTTACAAAATATTCCATAAATGCAAATAATGAGAAAAATAGAATAGCCGAAAAGATCGCACCAAAATTTTCCATTGAATAAATTTGTGGTGAATAAAGTAGTCACTCTACCTTTCTTTTATAATGGTAGAACCTCAAAGATTATAGTAACAAAGAAAATTCATAGTAGGTATCTTCTTAATGGAAATTTTTTAATTAACTTACCAATTGAGAAAGATTTACTTTTGAAGTCAATATATATGAAGAATATATAAAACTATTAATTGTAACAACAAATATATACATATGAATAATATGGAAAACTATTAATTGTAGAACCAAATTTTAGGTGTACAAAGTATAATTTATTTTAGATTATACTTAGATTTGTTGCTACAATTAATAATAATTGTTCAAAGAATAATTTATTGTAGCAACAATATGAAGAATATTGAAAACTATTAATTGTAACAACAAATCTTATGTGTACATAGTATAATTTATTTTAGATTATACTTTTTCATAAGAATAACAAATTTGAGGGGTATACCATGTTTTTTGCCCTTGTAAAAAATAATAGATTTTTTGAAAAACACTTTTGAAAAAATATTTCTCAAAAGTAAGTTGATTTTAAAAGTTTTATGAAATATGCTTTAAAGAAGCAATTATTTAAAAATTTGGCCAAACACTAATTTGCTCAAAAGTGCTTTTTAAAATTCGAAGAAGGGCCTTAAATATCCTTAAACTATTAAAATTGATACAAAAATACCATTTGTTATGATATTGCCTACAAAATGCTCTTGAAGTTAACCTTTGTAACCCTTTTATATCCTTTTCATAAGCGACCCTATTAATTAAATCAATTAGTCTTCTCATTTAATACAAGCACCATCTAATTCGTTTTAGTAAAAAAGACAAGCCTACAAAAACAATACTTTAAATTAGTCAAAATAAATATACTTTGGTGTAAGAAAAAAATAATTAATGAATCACATAGGAAATATTTTCATCAAATTCCACGAAAAGAAAGCCATAACAAAAGGAATGGAGGTGGAAAGAAGTTCCTCATGAGTTTTACATTGATTCAAGTATGTTATGTATATTGTAGTTTTACTTTTTTTTGGAAAATCATTTTGAAAGGTCAAAAATATTTTTACAATTAAGTAAAAATACTTGATTAAGTAAATAAGGTGAGCAATCATTAAAAGTCAGTTTTTATTTAGCAAAGTAAAAGTAAAAGTGAGAGACAACGAAATAAGGGGAAAATTCAACTAAGTTAAAAATTTAATATTAGAGTCTAAACATGCAATTACAATCCAAGCAATAAATTACAAAAGAAGTGAATCACATTCTGGCTTTTACCAAAAATGATAAATTCTGAAATCTAAGGTTTTGGGCCAAAGTGTTGCTGCATTTCGGCTTTCCTAGCCCACTCTGCCTTTTGTATATCAAAATGTATACATTTATTATATATCAACTCCCTCCACCTGTATATTAGCTTCTCTTTCCGCTTTGAAGAGGCAGATTCAAATAAGATGCATGCAAGCTGAAATGGAAGAGTCCAAATGGACTCATTCGAAGGAGTTCATGCCGTGAAAGGAAATAAAATTCAGTAGCGTAAAGGTTAAATAAGTTGGAAGAA